GTAACTAAATGTTTTTAACCAGATTTACTGAGGCTTAAATACATTTTGGTTTATAATGCAGCCAAAAATATATAGGCTAACAGTTTTTTAAAATTAACTAAATATGAACTAGTCGTGTTTGCATGTCTGGTGGCTCCCAAAGGCCCGTTTTAACTCTGGAAAAACCCTGTGTAATAATCGACATGAAAATGTAACCAGATGCTAGTGCAGTATTGTAATTGGTATGATTAAGCCCATGATTGCTCTTTGGTATATCACAATGGCTGCTGTTGCACCAGATGGACAAAGATCCTACAGTTTCAGAACACTGCAGGAGTTTAGTTTTGAGACACAACTTGGCACAAGATGACAAAGCAAATCATGCCGAGCTTCCAGAAGACTGAAGAAAGTCTCCTCGCTGCCGAGGTTCAAACACAAGCTTGAAAGGGAAAATCAAACACTGTTGACTAATTTTATGCTGTTTGTAGTGTAGATAAAACCTGGGTGTGGGTGGATATGTTAGAGTAAAATCAATTGGATGACTAAATTATGGACAAAATGACTGAGTCATATGCAAAACCTGAAGCTGTTGCTTTTAGTTGGCTGTTGGTCTGACCTTGATGAGAGTGGGTGCCCCTCCAAACTCCTCCCAAAGTTGAAGTACTAGTGGTGGATTGTGACGACTGTCCTTATCTGCTTCTGCACACACTCCTGCTGCACATGGCAATCTCACACACATGTTGTTTTGGAAAAGAGATGGACGAACACGACTCAGTCACATCTGCACTTATTTGCTCAGTCCTTCTCATGCTCACCTCACCTCACGTCTGTCATGCTTACCTTACGCCAAATGGGAGAATTGAAGCAGGAAAGATGCAGATCGCTCGCTTGCATTCGCTGGGTCTCTAGGCTATTTATTAACAAAGGGCTGTTGGGAGTTGAGAGACAAGGGCATGTGCTCCCAGCACTGGCGTCATCTTGCTTGGACAAGCCCAGAGGAATTGGGAGTGTTTTGAAGAATGTTGCCACGACAACAGGGTCTTCCCTAACAGAAAAGTTTTGAGCTCCAGGAAATTTGGGAGGATTTCACCTGAAAATAATCCTTGAACACAGATTTCAAATGGAAAATAATTTTCCAGTCTGTAATAATGCACTTTGTAGTGTTTATGTTACATCTGCTGTTAAACAAGAAGATGAATGAAATTATCGTTCTGTAATCAAATCTCAGCTCGTTGTATCTGATAATGCAGAGCATGCCTGGGACACTGAACACCACTCAAAGCTCAGGAGTAATGATCTCTATCGACCCTTTTCAGCCATACTAATTCTAAAGAGTGAAAGAGACTTGTGCTCTCGTGACCCGAGCACTTGTTTGGTTTGCATTTTCATCTCTATTGCATATTTGTGATTGGTTGGACCGCAAATATATAAACTACTATGTCTTTAAGTAGGTAGTCTTTGTTTTGGTATGTAGTTGTTGGACACTTAAAAGTATGTCCTCGTATGGGGGGACAATTGCTTTATTTTAGAAGAAAACAATAAGGTCAGCATTGCTTAATGTATAAGATGCAGAAAATCCAGAATGTCATGTCCCCACATGAGGATGCACGGTCTCAAGGGGTTGTTGCTTCCAAAGAAAAATATCTGCTGGAGAGATGCATGCCCATCAGCGAGGTCACAGATGATGTCACAGCTCAGATAGCTGCTAGTCTGTCATGTTTGATAAAAGCAAATATCAAATGAGCTAGTGATATACACTGGCAGAATTGCTTAAGTAAAGCCTTTAGTGCATCTCAAGTTATTAACACTAGACAAAGCTATATAGTTGAATCCATCCTGCAATGTATATCTACCTGTGTGTATCTCTCCCGCCACCCTCTTAGTGCAACTATTAATATCTTTTATTTCTGAGGGCCTGTTGTGCTTTACTGGGATACAGATGATGTTTAAAAAATGTGTCCGCTTTTGGCAGCAAAGCACCATGCTTTAAATAGATTTGCAGTTGCATAGCAACAGCAGGACACATGAAGAGGGCCTTTAGTTAAAAGAAATGTTGAGCTGACAGTCGCTCGAGTCAAATTAAACGCAGAGCAGTCATCTAAAAAAACTATGCGTTCAGGCTAATAAACGTCTCTAACATGTCAGAAAATGCAGAACTTTGGCGGTGACTTAACGTTTAGGTCTTCCAGAATTTCACAACCAGTTAAACGTTTTACATGTTACAGGAAAACTTTTTATTAGTTTTAGATTTATACTATCCCATCTGCAGTTTAACGATTTGGGATTAAACAGAAGACTTTCGAATAGCATTCAGATTCATTACCATGTGTTGCTTTTTTTTTTTTTTTTTAAAAAAAAAAGGGGGGGGGGAGAACAAAAGCAGGCTTTAAAATATTCAGATGTCCCTTGGCTTTAATCCCCTTCTCCTTCATGTTTTAAATGTATTTGCATTAATTGGTAAATTTTGCTGATCTTCTCCATTCAAGGCCTCATTGTCTCTTTCACATTGTTTAATTTGACTCTGTCTGTGAAGCAGCAAATGTGTTCACTGTGCTCGATTCATGTGCCGCTGAATTGAGGAAGTTACTTATACATGTTAGAAGCTGCAGCTGCATTCCTGGCCCATCAGCCTCAGTGACAGGTCTCTGCCTCTCAAATTTCACTTCTCTTATCTTTTGTTTTCTCCTCCTTACCGTTGAGGGAAAAAAAAGGTTTTCATTGTATTATTCAGTTCCTTCAATCCTGTATCTTGTCCCTAAACTCTCCTCCCCTCTTAACTTTCTGTCTGTAAGGTGATAGCAGCACTTAAGTTGATGCCAACTCCAGGGGCCCCTACAAAAGCCTTACTCAAATGGAAGCAAATAGGAACAAACTGTACTTGATGTTCTGAGCAGCAGCAGTAACAAAGCTTATACACCTTGGTGATGCTGACGTTTTGTTTTTTCCAGTAAAAATAAAACTGGGTACATTGGGAAAAGGCCATTTTAATAAGTGAAAACTGCAAGTTTAGAAAATTGCTTGGCATTAAAGGGTTTGGATTTAGAGGCATGCATATATTCATCTACAGATCTTTTAGATGTAAAGTCAGAAAGTATTACACAATAGTAAAGGCGCCTCACCAGTTTCTCCCAGTCTTTATTTGTAACTGGAACCAACTAAGTTTAAACCCATTCATGATGGTGGTTTTTTATTTTTATTAACATAACACAGACTCAAATGTTGGAATGGTACCAAGATGCCTACTAATGTTACATCTGTTAAATTTGACAGTATAAACATCGGCTGTAGCCACCATGACCTCACCCATTAACTTCTAAAGTTGTGTTTTGAAGCCTGGAGATAAGTTTCTACTGTTACTATCCTTGGTCTTTTGAAAATGGATATGACGAAGAGGAGGGAGGGGTGGGGGTGGGGGGTTCTGACTGCTAAATTAGCAGGTCAGTGTGCGGATTCACAAACATAAACCAGGTAATCCTCCTTCCTGTAAAAATACTATAGAACAGTTTTTATATAGGTAGTTATGCCTGAATTATGCTTTAGTAGGAAATCGACGCTGTGATATATGATGTATCTGGACACCCCTCTCAATCTTAAGCTGTAAATTTCCACACCAATCGGTCGTTGCGAACTGCGCTGACCTGAAGTACAGTTGCATTTCTCGGGAAGTCCTTATGATTTTATGTGGAGGGTTAAGATGGGCTTCCGGTTAAATTCCGGATTATGAAGTAGATTTTCCACTGAAGGATAATTCAGGCATTAGAAACCTTGTTTCTTCTATAAACTTCTATAGCGCTGGGAGTTATTTTGCAATCTCTGGCATCGCCCCCTGGTGACCTTAAAAAAGAATGAAAGGTTGAGCCGCTTTTCACATGTGGAAGCTTCGGGCGTCTTTTATACATTCATCTGGTTACATTATGTTATCTTGAGAATTTATACAACATTAGTCATTGCAGCTATTCGCCTCAACAATGTAGCTGATTTCAAAACTGTGAGCTGTCTCAAAGAAAATGGCGAGGTGCATTTCAGAAAAACACAAAGTGCTTTCATACCTTACACAGATAAGTAGGTAGGCTTTGTCAGAGTATATCTAAGCGTGTGTGGACACCAAAAGCCGGGCACATGTTGGCACACATGAACAACACTGTGGATAATCTGATGAAAAGTTGAGTAATTTATATATAAATATATTTATAAATGGATATATAGATAAAATATTGTTCTAGTAGCTCAGTTAGTGATGTTCAATGTCATTAATTTGGATTTCACTGCCTTATAAGGATATAAGCGGTTTTCCCTGCATACCTGCTTTGAAGCAGATGCTTCGGAGTTGACAGAGGTCTTTCCATGTAGGAAGGTTGAGCCAAGACTCTGGGAAGTAAACAGCTCAGTTTGCTGGAAGGATCTTGCACTTTGAGTGCCGTGGCTGCCGGAGGGAGCAGGTCTATTCCACAGTAAAGGCTCTGTATTTCTGCTCTGTCTTGTTTTGTTTAACTTTGTTCTCTCTTTTGGATAGCGCTCTCTCTTTAAAATATTTTTGTGTCACTTTCCTGGGAAAGGAGAAGGGAAAGAGTTTTAGTAATCATGATATCATTGTTGTATGTGTTTTTGATTGGTTCCAGAGGGTGCTTAAGCAGCTTCTGGCAGGGTGTATGTCTAGATGCTGGCTGTGTGCCCAGTTTAAACTAGTGAGCTGAGAGTTAATAAAGGTGGGATTAAGCCTCTAAGTGTTTCTGGTCAGCGTGTTGTTTCAGAACACTGGTTGCTGGTCTGGTTGAATCTTTTTCCTGGTGTGAATTGCTGTAGGATGCATCTTATTTGAGGTTATTCTCGCCACAAAAAGCACCCCAGCTGCCAGTGAATACTTAAATTGTAAAAACGTATTTCCATTGCTTCAATTTTGCCAGCGCATTTGCTCGTGTGCACACATGGGTTTGTTTGTTCTTTTATCATGTTGGCTTGTGAACAGACTGGTTGCTATTTGAACTGGAGATTTATAAATAGACCTGTATACTGCTTGCAGCAGGCAGAAAGCTAACGCACTCTATCCTGCACCAAGAAAAAGGTCAGGAGACTCGCACAAACACTTTACTTATTGCTGTCAAATGCACTGGGCCTTTTTCAATGAAGGTTGCCTATGTCACTCTCCCCTTTGTTGATTTGTGGCTTTATTTGTATCACCATATCTCAATGTATAGTGTTGCATTTGTCCCTTTACTCGTCCTTTTGCTTTGCTCGAGGTAAGAGGTTTTCCTTGCCTTGGTGTCCTAGTGCAGAGCTGCTTTAAGCTTGTTGTATAACCCTAATCTAGTCTTCCCTGTAGATGTTCACCCTACCCCGCCCTTCACCAAGAGAAGGTGTGTGTGTGTGTGTGTGTGTGTGTGTGTGTGTGCTTATTGCTAGTGGATTTCTGACTAACCTGGCTGACTCCACCTGCTCCATAGTCTCTCGACAGGAGAAAGGATAATGCTATCTTCATATGTTAGTGACACAGAATCCAAACAAAGTAGTCTTCATTCAATCTCTTAAGTAAATACAGTGGCTCAGGGAAAGTGGTAGCCACCATGTTTCCTTTACAGCTGTGCTTGACCAAAACGATACCTCTTGAGGCTTTGACTGTAGGAGCAGTGGATTTCTGGTAGTTATCATGTGCCTTAAGCATGTTGTGGTTTAGTGGTTGGTAGGCATGGGAATCGAGAACAGGTTCTTGTAGAAAACCGGTTCCCAGAAAATAGCGATGCAGTCTAGAGATACGGACACTTATTTTTATTGCACAACAGGACAAGATAAATGATGGAGTGGAATATTGCATCCGGGACAGAAACGACCGCATTATGCTGCTAACACAAGTTTAGTTCTTTGTAAGCATCTGCCAAGCATGCTAACACTAAGCTAGCCGAAAACCCAGAGAAAGGTCTTAGAGATGTGTCTTCATTAAGGATTTTTGTTGGTGTATGTGGGGGGTTGGAGCCTCAGGTTTATATTGTTAAATGGTGAATATGAGATGATGTGTTTCAGTAATTTTACAGAGTAACGTGAAAGTAATGTAACGAGTAGTGTAACTAATTGCTTTTGTCTGGGAGTAAATAAAAAAAAAAAAAACTTTTTACTTTCAAGAAAAGTGTTCTGTGTAATATGTGTAAAAATTACTTTTGAGTAATGACTCCATCACTGATCACAAAAAGAAGTAGCTCAACAAACATGCACAAACATTTGACCCACAACATGCAAATAACGTGCATGAATTTCTTTATTGCTGCTTTGCAATGGTGGTTACTCTCAAAAAAGAGCCAATGAGAATCCAATGGCAATCAAAAATACATATCGATATAAAATCTGAATGACTAATTTATCATATCAATATATTGATAATCGGTTCCCATCCCTACCAGTTGCTGACGGAGTCTTTTTGAAATGATTTAAAATGGATATATCCTGTAGCATTCACACATTTTTCTCTCTCCTCTTCTCTCTTTCTGTTCCTGCAGTGCCAGAGCATACCAAGTCAAGACAGAGTCCTTATTCTACTCAACCTCCCTCCTTTTCCCCTCCCCACACATTGCATACACGCACACGTACAGTCCTCAGCGATGCCAAGGGGGGCTGATCAGCCTGCTGCCCGCTCTGACAAGCCCTGCCTCTTCACCTCAGACCCTTGAGGCTGTGCTCTCTGAGCTCTGACGTTTGACCTCCCCTGTTTCGACCTGGGATCCAGAGGTCACCTGTTCTCCAGTCAGCCCGGGGACGCCCTCCTGCCCAGCCAGGTGTCACAGCCACCAGCGGCACTTATAGGTAACCTGTGAAGAGAAGGAAAAGGGAACAGATGTCACTTGCTTAACACACAAGAACATTGTCTTTTAAATAAAGCAAGAAAACGATTATGCTGTTATATTTAAATGGCACTGAACATTAACATGTAGGTATGTTCTCGCTCATAGCTCCTGATGTCTTAGCTCTTGTTCTGCCAAAGTGAGGATTTGTGAAATTTGTATGAGGCTATAATTGATTCACAGTGGCAGCTGTCCTCATCTGCATCCAAAATGATGGTTCATTTCTAAAAAATGGTTATAATCCAACAAAAATGTATGTTGTAAGATTATTTGTTGCTACTTAACGGTCGGCAGTCATTCTGTTACCAGCGCTAAAAGGAAAAGATCCTGAGTATTATTTTATAAAAAAAATTGCTTATCTTTGTTAAGATGCCGAATGGGGAGTTTTAATTGGGTTTTTAATTCCTTTGAGCTGGATAACCACCTTTACCTGCTAACTTAGATTCAGAAAACAGCATCTCACCACTAAACCCTCTGCACTTGTCTTACTTTAAGCTCTTACTTTCACGCTCTCGTTTTCTTTTCTCTTTGCTTGCCTCTTTTCTTTTTTTCCTTTTTTTGCCATGACTGTTTCTAACATTTTCTCTGCTCTGTTTTCTGCCCCTCAGCCTTTTTGACAGTCTTTCCTCTGTTTCCAGGCATGGCTCCCATTCGGGATTCCGTCAGCCACTCCCCTAATCAAACAGGTGACTACACATGGTCTTCTTTGATACTGTCTTCTGCAATTCAGTCCTCCTTCAAGTACCTTCTTTAGTCTCTGAGCAGTCATCAGATGAGTTAGACTCAGTCTGACTTGACCTTGGCTGATAATTTTATTTCTGACATACGAGAGACAGAGAGGGAGATAAATGAGAGAGAAAGTGGGTGTCAAAGGGTGGAAAAGAAGACTTGGCAAGCAAATGCGATAAGCAGCGAGAGCTGGCAACCATTTTATGTGTGAGAGACTTTTAAGTTGGGACCAAGTGGGCAGCCGTTTGGTTAAAGAGACTCGCACGTTACCAGGTTAGGTTCAGGCATCTGGTGAAGAAACATGGCTAGAAAAGGGCAGCTGCTGTTTTAAATGAAGAATGTTGTAAGCTCTGATTCAGATTGTAAAACGGTGCCTTGTTGAGCCGATGCCGTAGCCTGGTACGTAGCCGTAGTCTGTGGTAGCCTGGTTGTGGCTGTCTAAATAAAGTTTTCCTTTGATACTTCTTTGCACAGTAAAGTTACTTTCTGTTGCTTTTCCACTCACATCTGAGACTCAATGGGTGTTTGTACAGAAACCTGTATCGCATTGTTCTATGCAGTCTAATTTTAGAAACATGCCAGGTCTAATTTAATTTTTTTATTATATTTTGGGTGAGAAAAGGGTTTAAAAGTCTGAATAATTTAAGTTGCCACCAATTCATTTCCTTTGCCAACTGCTCCCCTCTTTCTTCCTCCATATTTCCTTTTTTCACACTTTGTTGCCGTCTCCCCTATTCCCTCCATCACTTCTCTCCTGCTGATGCTCATCCTCCACCTCACTGAATCCAAGTTTTATTGCTTTGGCACGCTTTTGGGTCCTGCTGTGGTTACAAAATGGTGGCAGCTGTGTCCAAGCTCAGCCCTGGCAGTGAGCACATCCAGAACAGTAGGGCAGCTGAAGCTTGGAGGGAAATTAAAATAAATTAAAAAAAAAATATATATATATATATAGGCAACTTTGAGGGATTTAATTATCCTCAGTTTTTTAAATTTGGTAAATGTTACTAATGTTGTGTTTTTAACTTTATTTTTTCCGTGTTCAAACAATATCTTCTGTTTCCAATCTCTCACCAGGTCTGGATCATCCTGGCTTGGATTCGCAGTATGAGCCTCCCCCCTGGTCGTCTGGCTCTCCCTGCAGCAGTGACGGCAACAGCAACTGGGGCAAAGCCCTAGTAGACGGAAGCACCGACACCCCCAATAACCCTTCTTCAACCAGCTCTTCCGTTTGGCCTCCCTCATCTTTTTCTTGCTCATCCTCTTCTTCCTCTTCTGGCTGTGGATCAGGATCAGACCCCGAGTCGGCATCAGAATGCATGGACGCAGACTCTAGTTCCTCAATCGGCTCAGAGAGGAATCTTGCTGCTACAACAGTGATGATGATGTCAGCAAATGCTTCTTCGTCATCTGCAACTTCTTCCCCCACCTCTTCTTTGGGGAATGCTGCCATGATGGTCAGCGTTTCAATGAACGGAGATGGCAATGGCAACAGTCATCAGGTGGTTGGCGCAGGTATGGAAACCATCAGCAGTGCAAATAATGGAAATAACATGTCTGAGCCCTCACAGTACTCCATGGCTGGGTCCAACAGTATTGGCAGCAATAACATGAGCAACCACAACAACAAGCTTGTCAATAACGGTGGTGTATGGGGCACCCCTTCAGGCAGCAATGTGATCCCCACTGGCGGAAGCACCCCCTGCATCAATGGAGGGTTAAACCCAAACACTTTAAACCCAAATGCCAACCATGGTGCCTGGCCACAAAATTCAATCCCAAATCCAGCATCCCAGGGCCAACGGCCTCCACAGGCTCAGGGGATAGGTTCCAAACTAGGTATGGCTCCCCAGCAGGCCCCCTTGCTGGGCTGGGGCGGCATGGCAGCTCCAGACAACAGCAGTATGATGCAAGACACCGAGGTGAATAATGGTACATTAAGCAGCAACAGTGGAAATGGTGGCCTAAAGCCTACCAACCTTAACACTGAATCCAATGGACCAAATAACACTATCACAATGAATACTACTACTACTACTACTAATGCCACAATGACCTCTAGTCCACCAAACTCTACCGCCTCACCCCAACTCAGCGGGGATTGTTCTTGGGGTTCCATTGGAGGAGGGACCGGGGGTCCGCTGGCCAATGGAAACCCCTCGTCAGCACCCCAGCACCCCCAAGGAGAACTGGGGGGCAGTGGGGCATTCGGTACGCCTTGGGGCGCAGCTACCTACCCTGTAGACAAGGGCCCCCCAAATGCAGACACTGTGAACCCCCAAATCCCCTCTACTGCTGCTTATAAGAGTAATAATAACCACAATAACACTGGGGCCCCACGCTGGGACCAGGGGCCCTCCAACACCCCAAACCAGCCTCAGAGCAACTTGTCCTGTGGCATTGGCTCAAATCAAATCCTTGGCTCTACAGGCCAAACAGCAGGAAATGGAAACCAAACGACGATGGGGCCCCCAGCAGCAATACCTCGCCCCTGGGGGAGCAGCGCGTCCTTGTCCTCATCGTCGTCTTCCACAACGCCTAGTAACAACCCTTCAGATGCTGGAAGTCACAAAGGAAGCTCTTCTAACAATGGCTGGAAAAGCCTGGAGGATGACGCCATGGGAATGGGAGGAGCAGTGGGAGGCAGTGGAAGCCATGGCTTGGGGAGTGTCACAGGAGGCTGGGGTCGCTCTGGGGGAAGCGAGGGAAGCGGTGAGAGCTCTGGAGGCCGTTCTAGCTCAGACAGAGAGAGCATCCAGACAAAGGGGGGAAGGAGCAGAAAAAGTCCCAATCCTGCATCAGTACTATCACTTCTGGTCCGGGCTGAAGTGGACCCGAGGGTCCTGTCCAACACTGGATGGGGACAGACGCCCATACGGCAGAACACTGCCTGGGATGTCAATTCTCCAAATAACAATCAGAACCAGGGCACCAGGGGAGATGAAAGAAAGCTTAGCAGTGGAAGCTCCGGCTGGGGCAAAACGACACCGGCAGCTCCCTCCCAGACATCTGGAGGTAATTTGCATGAATTTTTAAAATAAAAATAAATAAATAAATAAATCTTATTAAGAATAAAATTAGATGATACAAGGACAAAAAGTGATGCATCTTTCCTGTATTTGCAGGCTGGGGTGGTGGGCCAGGCAGCTCAGGCATAGATACAGGAAGTTCTGGCTGGGGAGAGCAGAAACCAACTTCTGGCTGGGACAGCAAAAGCCCACTGAATGGAGGAGCTGGGCATAGCGGCTGGGATGATGGAGCCAGCTGCAAGGGTAATAACAGCAGCAGCAACACCTGGAGCAACAACATTAACAAAGATGACAGGTAATTGATCAAATTAAATAAATATACAAGAAAGAGAGCGAGGGAGCTTCAAAGCTTGGCATATTTTTAAAGGCTTCAGGTAAACCCATGTTTTTGTTTTAGATCCAGTACCTGGAGTAATACCTCCAAACCACAGCAGGGCTGGGGTTCCAGCAGTGCAAATGTAAGTGACACCTGGGGTGCCAGTGGAGAAACCACCAGACCAAGCTCCAACAGCCACTGGGGAGAGCCCCAAAAAGGCGCAGGCTCAGTAGGTTGGGATAGCGACAGTGACCGGTCTGGTTCTGGATGTTGGAGCGAGCCGAGCCGTACCAACACCAGCAGCAGTAACACCTGGGTGGGGAGCGGTGGATCAAATACTCCAGACGTGAGCACTCCAAATCCAGGCTCCACCTGGGGAGAGCCAGTCCTCAAACCCAAACCTCAGAGTACCACTCAGGGCTGGGCTGAGCCATCGAAGAACAACACTGGAGCCCAGAACTGGGGTGAGCCCAATCCTAAGCCCTCTAACGAGTGGGGAAAAGGTCCTGAATCCAACATGTCCAGAGGCAGTCAAGGTCAAAACAAGCCCACAGGTAGTTATCGCATCTAATGCTAACTTTGGAAGAGACTTGACGCTGTTTAGAAAAGACTTTTCAGTGGAAGGACCAGAAGTTGATTACTCACTCATTTATTCGTATCACAGGCTGGCTGGGAGGCCCCATGCCCACAGTAGGTCAGAAGGAGGAAGTGTCGACTGGGTGGGAAGAGCCTTCTCCAGAGTCCATCCGCCGAAAAATGGAGATCGATGATGGAACTGCAGCTTGGGGAGACCCAGGTAGACACTCACTTTACAGCAAGTTTGCCCAACCCGCTGGGTTCAAGGCTATAATTGATGACTAATTACTTTTGATTTTTAGATTTATATTTCACCTTTTAAAAGTGTTTAACTTCTCTTGTTTGTGATCAGTCTTTTCATCAAACCTCACATCTAACTGTAGTTTTTCTGTTTTTGACACTATCCTAACCTGGACCTAAAAGCTCAAGTAAAAACACAAAATCCAAGTAAGAAAGTTGTTTGTTTGTTTTTTACTGTAATAACCATAAGCATGTTTATCTGTTTTTATGACTTGAAATTCAAATATAAACAGTAAATTTCAACAACTTGTGTACAAATTTTGCAAATAACAAAATTCAATGCAACTATTCGCATTAAATTGCAGGCAGTGTCTCAGGCATTTGTTGTTGTGTACAACTATTTACAAAACAACCAGGTGTCAAAAAAACATGCCACACAAGTTATTTGTGCCACTCCAAAAGAAACATTTCCCATCCAGTTCCAGGGTGTGTCTTATCTTCAATCTGCCTTTGGTGGCTTTTTGGCAAGCATCTGTGACATTTAGTAGTCGCCTCATTGTTTTGACGCACAACAAAATCAAACAAGTAGACTACACACCAAGCACAGAACATGCACACTAACTGTACACTCCAAACACTCAAAATGTCACAAATCTCACATTTCAACACTCGAAATCGATATAGCTCTTTTGCTCCCACACCTTTCTCTTCTTCCTAAACAACCAAATGCCATGTTGTTGCCATGGGAATTATTTGCCGCAAGTCTGGTTTTACTTGGTCTGTCAGCACAATTTAAACTGATTTATAGTTTCAAGTCTGCACTTTTGACACAAGTTGAAACGGAGACTTTAGCTTTGTTTCCACTTAAAAAATAAATAAAATAATAAATTCAGCTGATAAAATTGTATTTATTTTCCCTCCTAGGCAAATACAGTGGTGGGTCTGTCAACATGTGGAACAGGACTGGTCAACCAGACCAGGAAGCTGTGGGCCCCTCCCCTCAGCACCAGTCCCACCCAACCCACATGTCAATGCAGCATGTTAACCAGGACAAAAGCTCCGGTTCTGGTAGGTTGGATAATGTTTGCACACCATATGATTACTCACGCACAGTTGTGGCTTTTATATTCCTGACTGTGAGAACAGGAAAGGACTGTGCATAGAAGAATGCATGCACGTGCCCAGACAACATTAAAACAGGTGGAAACATCGGTACACCACAGACTCGCACTTTTTCATTGTGTCGTCTATTCACACAAAAATGTGGTTTGCCAGGTTACAGCATATATTATTAATCACATATTCCACTTTTATTTTAGCCAGAGTGGAAACTTCTCATCAAAATGTGCAAATTCTTGCACAGATTGTCTTTGAGTTTTTAAAAAAATATATTAATGTGATTTAACACCTACGTCAGGAGCCTGGGGCAGTATTTAAAATGGTAGAAGTGCAAACCTCGTCATGGAGTCTGTAAGAGAGGAACAAGGCTAACCCAGACTCTCATTAAGATGGATAGAAATGAAGTCCTAAAAGGGTTGAGAAAGTGCAAGCAAAGCCAGTGTAAATACACGCGCTCACAAAGATATACAAAGGCATACACCAATTTACACAGAAGCATGGCTGGAGACCAAACACGTACAGTCATTCCCTCCCATTTTCCCTACAGTGTTGTCTGTGTTGAAGGCTTTTTGAAAAGCCAGTTGAGTCATCCCTTTGGAATGCTAAGAGCATCGATTTTTCTCTTCTCTCATTCGCCTTTTTTTTCCTTCCTTCCCTCCCCCCTCCTCCTCTTCTTGTTCACCCGCCAATTGTGCTTGCTATAGAAACGCAGGCTTTTGATGGGTTTCAGGAAAAGAGAGTTAGAGAGACCGTGAGTAGCACAGGAGATGGTCTGCTGACTTGGAAATAGGACAGGTTCCAATGTGAGATGGGAAAACTAAAACGAGCAGGAGAGCTATTCTATGGAAGGGGCCGGAGGAGGAGAAAAGGAGGGGGCTGTTTAGGGTTATTCAAGGTTTCTGGTTTAGTGAGCTAACTGGAGGTGCTAAGTGGATGTCTGGGAAGGGTGGGACCCTCTCCCTAGCTACTGCATTGAGAAAATTAATTTATGGGTCTTGATTCATCTTAATTTCAGTTATTACCTAGTGAAATAAAAAGTCTGGGTCACTTAAAGGAAATGATCAATAAATGTAGCTAAATTAGACTTTCATGGTGTTGCAAAATGTACGTGTAATCAAACAAAAACAGATGCTCAGGCTTATTCATACACACTTGCAAACACACTGGTTAAAATTTCCTCTGAGTCCTTGTATCAGCTGATGCACTCAAGTGGACAGGGATGGAGTGATAGATTGGGGGTTATTGATTGGCAGTTTGTGTGTATTTGTGTGATGTGCTTGTTTGTGGCTACATGTATCTACCTGTTTGTGTCAGTCTGTCCTCTTGTGTTTACGTGCATATGTGATGAACAAGCCAAGTCAGATGCAGGACATCAGTGCCAGAGGCCACCCCATGATCTGTCCTATTTTTACAGGGAGGTATCCCTGGCATCTCCCCAAACGTCTCCTGTGCAGGGAGAAAGTAACGGGCCTGGGTGGTCGGCTGTAACAAGAGCCTTTTGAACTCATACGTGCCCTTTCTTGAGCATGCATTCTGTTACATTTCAAAGGGTATAATGTCCTGCAATGACACCTGCGTATCCACAAGCGTGGAAGAAAAACACTGCTTACATAAGTGAGTGGATATAGGGTTCCCCAGGGAGTGTTGCTCTAAGCTCTGGTCTCCAGTTTCAGCTAAGTGGGGAGAAATCTATATGAATTGCAACATTATCGTACATTTGGAAAACAGGTTGGGTCTTGCCACCTTTAATGTGATGCAGCCCACTTTCCCACTGGCCTAACATTGGAATTGTACAAATGTTAAATAGTGTTTAAGTACATCAAGTAGATTGAACCACAGAAACTGTACCCTCATAGTGATCATCTCATTTGTTCCTTCAGGTTGGGGTGAGCCATACCCCCAACAGAAGGAATCCGCATCATGGGGGGAGCCTAGTGCTGCTCCGCCTGTGACTGTGGACAACGGGACGTCTGCCTGGGGAAAGCCCAATGACAAGAGCTACAGTTGGGGTGACGGCAGGGACAGCAGGGATAGCAGGGATAGCAGGGAGTCTGGGTCTGGATGGGGCAGTCAGCATAAGTCTGGTATGTGCACAAAGCAAACCCTACAAACATCTGATTGCAACATCTGTAAATAATAAGCAGTCTGGTGTGACTAAAGTGTGGCAGAAAAGAGGTGAATTTACTTGCTAGTAATCTGTTTCTACATCTCTCCCTCCCTTAATGATAGCTCCAGGTCCCAAGCGCATGGACACATGGTGTAGTGACGAGATGGGAAATAGCTGGGACCAGGAAGAGGAAGTGGAGATCGGCATGTGGAGCAACAATCAACAGGACAGCAGATCCCATGACCAAGTCACCTGGAACTACAAGCATAAAAGCTCTACTAAGGTACATTTATCTCATCTTTGCACTTTTTTCTATTTGAAATGAGGCCATTTAATAAAGGGATGGAGTCTTCTTTATTTATTAGAAGTTTTTAAAGCCGTCCTAACAGTGCTCCCCTCTGTCCACTCTGTTTCAGATGAACAAACCAGTCAACAAACAGGATGATCCCTGGATGAAACCCTTCATCGGCCAGTTCAGCAGCATGAACTTCTCTGTAAATATTATTAATCATTCAGTTAAATATTCCCTGTGTTTGTGTCCCTCTAGCACACACGGAGCTATTGATAACTTTCTTAATGAAAGTAGTGTTTCGGAAGCAAAAACAGAAGCTGTAAGTACAGAGGAAAGCTTTCTATTCACTGAGACACTCGTTAAGTTAGTTTTCCACCAGATGACTAGGGCTGTGCGATATGACCAAAATCTCATATCCCGATATAAGAACTCTGTCGTCCTGATAACGATATAAATCACAAAAATGTAACATTTTCTGTAAATTCTGTGAATCTCGGGCAGCTCGACTTGTGGGAAGTGTTTCCAGCTGGGCGTCATGTAGCTGGAGTCGAGTGTTTTAACCGATGCATGAAACTACACATTTTTAGACATAAGTTGTAAAGGCCGCTGTTTTCTTTGTGATTATTTATTACACAGCCTGTTCTAACGTTTGAGTTTAAGGTTTATTTTTTAGCACCTGGCGGCTCTTTTTTTACTTCTCATCCGTAAATAATCTGCTCTTTCACATGATTCAGTTTATTTTGAAGTCTCAACAGGATCTTGGGCTTTATTGTGAAAGATTTATGTGGAACATAAGCAAGCGGACACGCGATGCTGTTACCGTTGTTGTTGCTAACCACAACGCATAAAAACAGGCGCTTGTCCGTCCGTAGTGTGGTTATATAAAATACAGAGAAAGAGAGAACTTAAATGAAGAGAGCCACTACAGTGACCATCAAAACGATGAAAAAATATTGCCGTAAACAGTTTATTTTGCGACACCACGAAACAAACGATAGCGTAAAATGAAACCATAGACGTTTTTATATCGTCATCCGATATATATCGTTACATCGAACAGCCCTACAGATGACTCATGTCTACGTTAAAGCATGCTGAAGTGTTTGGTTTTTCAAATGTAATAAGCCCTGATTCAAAGAATGCAAGATTTATGCTGTTCCGTCTCCGTAATCACATTTTCTTGGCTTCGTTCTTGCAGAGGGACTCCCCTGATGACTCCATTAAGACTGGAGCAGGGATGGTGCAGGACAAGCGTATGGACATGGGCAGTATTGGGGACTTCAATGGAGTTATGGGGAAGAATTCTGGGTCTCGGCACCACCTCCACAAGGACTCCACCATGGATCGCAGTTCTTACTATGACAAGGTATGGAGAAGCATGAGTGGAGTTACATGTACAAGGTGTATTCTTTCCGGAGCTGTGCTGTATATGCAGGCATGAGGTAAATAACTGATTCTCATAAAGGGCAATGTCTTAGTCTGCTGTTATGGTGGGGTAGGTGTAGAATGAAGTGTGCCTCTGGCTGTACAGTGCCTCACAGTGGGCGTTTTAATGCAGTGCAGCTTTGCTGGTCTAAAACTAGTGTTTTATTTGACTCTTTCCTCATCATGTTGTATCATTATCACTAGAAGCAAGCACATGTCAGTACAAACTGTTCCGGCTCAGTTTGGCTTGCTGCGTTTCCTTTAGCACAGTGTGCTCCTTCTTATTAACTCTTATTTCATCCTGCTATCTCGTTTCTACCATCACGTCCTTATTTTTAGCTTCTCATTCTTCTCGTACCTCTTTTGCTCCCCACACTGTCCACTCCCTGCAATTATTTCCTTCATTTCCACACATTTTATTCTTTCCTCGACCTTCAACTTGTCTTTGGTTTCGAGAAAAAAAAAAAAATTAACTTTCTTCTTTTTCTTCTTCCCTCTCTGTGCTTCTTTTGCTGCTGGTGTGCTTCCTGTCCCTGTGTGCTTACCGTCCATCTGCTGTGCACCTGGCCTTGCTTCTGCAGCTTTCACCCTCTGCTTACGATATCCCAGCTTCTGATGAACTCTCCTCCAATCAAAGCATGAGCCTTTCCCCCTCCAATTCTGCTCAGTCTGTCTCTTGTCTCAATTCTGGGCCGTCTGCTTCCCACTCTAGTTCTGGGGCTGCTGGGCAGGTGAGTGGAGAAGAATGAAGAGAGAGTTGTCTTGAGACGTTAGAAATTCCCTGTTTGATATGAAGATTTTTCACTTGATGCGAAGAAAGAATTAAATCAGTGATTTTTCCCCTGCTCACATGGGTAATACCAAAGCTTTGCCATTATTTTTAGGTAGGGGCAAGACTACCGGTGGCAGTCTTCCCTTTGAGCAGCAAAGAATACAAAGCTGTGTTTCCACCAGAAAAGTGTACACAGAGCACTGCTGGGGGGTAATGATGCTCTGTTCTCCCGCAGTACTGCTTATGGTGTGGGACAGCTGTGTGATGAAGTCCTAACCTAAGACATCGGAGAGAGAGAGATGATTGGGGGGTGATCAAACTTTTTCAGGCAGTTATGGTTAAGAAAATGCCGACAGCAGGCTGCTTTATTAGTAACTTTAACGATATTAGCCTGTTTAGAAATTATGTTTATCCACAGCATGGGCTCTATTTATGCCTGGAATAATTCAACAACCGTGGTAATAGTGGTGGAGAATTCCCACTTTAACTCTGCTCCAGAGAAACTGATGTTGGCTCTGAGCCTCATCCATAAATATAGCTCTCTTTTTGTAATGGTGTGCCCTCTAGTGGACGTCATGGGATATTCAAATGGTGGGGGAGGTTTTTTGTTTGTTTTCTTTCTTATGGCAAGTTTTGACTGCACACAAGCGTCTAACCTTGTGTGGTTCATTCTCATTGTTTGTCAGGGTTGTTTCTACACTGTTTTACATTTTTCTTCTTTGTTGTTTTGTCTCTCTCTCTCTCCCCCCCGATTAGAATGTAAACCCAATGTTGGGCGGCAACACCGTAGCACAGGGCCGAGGTGGCCCCCAGTCCCAGCCCCCTCCTCAACCCAGTCTTCGTAATCAAGTGCCTCCACCCATCCTGCCCGCTCAGGTACCCCACATAAAAATAAAACGCACAGAAGGTCACACTCAGAGTGAGTTCTTGTCTCTGTTACTCCTGATTGTTTTCCAACACTCAGTCCCAAATTCTTGTTGTTGTTCAGGTTCCTTCATCCCTGTTGAAGTACCCGGGAGGCAATGGCGGTCTGAACCCTCTGTTTGGCCCTCAGCAGATGGCTGTTCTCAACCAGCTGTCACAGCTAAACCAGATCAACCAGATCAACCAATTACAGGTGAATACCGGCGGAAAAGAAGTGTATAGCTTTAGATTTTTATTTCTAGTTTTTACATGAAAACAACATGACAGAAATGGAGCCATAATTCCTAACTGTAACATTAACAACATGATGGGTTTACATTATTCTATTTCTCTGCAGCGTCTTCTCCTCCAGCAGCAACAGCAGAAGGTTCAAAGCCAGAGACCCATGCCTATGGGACGTCAGACTGAACAGGTGTGTGTCTGGGTGCTACTAAATTGCACTCGTTGTCCCAGTGGTCTTAGCTCCTTGGTTGCTTTCTCTAACTGTGCACCTTCTGTCCTTAGACACGTCCAATTGGTTCCTCTCCATCACCGATGCAGCCACCACGACACATGGACCCCTCGCTGCTGAAGCCGGCCGCGCCCCTCAAGCCGTACCTGGATAACTACATGTCCCACAGCACCCCTGAGATGCTGAAGGATGCTGCCACTCTTGGATCCTTCAGCAACTTCCCTTTAAGTAAGTCAACTGCTACTGCTGTTATTACAGATTAGGCACCCTAATCATAAACTAGTTTGACTGGATGGAGAAGTGAGGTGATACTTTTTATTTGACACTTAAGCCCTCAGATTTGTAAGAAGATGATCATGAGCAGGATAGATCTTGGGGATTACATTTTAGTTTTACCTTTTAAAATATGCAGAGAGTTCTTGATTATCTGTTGACATGTACTCTTCTGTCCTGTTTCTCAGACTTGAATTCTAACCTGAATGTACCCCTGGACATGGGTGTTGGTGGTGGTAGTGGTGGTGGAGTGAGCTATAAAGAGCCACCCCAGTCCAGACTGAAGAAACTTTGGGCTACCGACCCTCCGGAGCAGACCAGCAAACCTGGTACAGACAAAGCATTTAGTTTGTCACACTGCATGCTGTGGTATTGTTTGGCTTTCTGGGGGAGGTATCCATGAGGTGTTTACTATGTAAACAGTGAAAAAATATTGGTCTTTAAAGTGACTAAAGCATCCCCACACTTTTTCTCTCTGCATACTTTAAACTCTGGCTTTAATGGTTTATATGTTTGTGTTTGTCCCACAGGTGCTATGTCGTCTGGGCTGCGTCTGGAGGACTCCTCCTTCTATGACTTAATTTCTCCTGGCCCCTCTCCCCTGAGTCCTCCCGGCCAATCAATGGGCTCGGTGGGTGATGGCTGGCCACCTCGTGCCAACTCCCCCCCGCCCCATGGAAACACTGTCACCTGGCCCCCAGGTACAGACGCCTTTAAATCCACCAGAATCCCCGAAGTGTTTGCGTTGAACCCTGCTGATGTCTGCCTGTGTTTTTTGTTCTCAGAGTTCCGGCCCGGGGAGCCTTGGAAAGGTTACCCCAACATTGACCCTGAGACTGACCCATATGTGACCCCCGGCAGTGTCATCAACAACCTCTCCATCAACACCGTCCGCGACACAGACCACCTCAGGGACAGGAACAACGGTAGGCCACGCACATGCCAGATCCCTCCCAATAACTGTAATGGTAGCACAGACTCACACTGACCCCTCCTGCTGATGTTTCCAGGGCCATCCTCATCACTGAACACCACGATGCCTTCTAACAGTGCCTGGTCATCCATTCGTGCCTCCAGCCACAGCGGTTCCCTCACCAGTACAGCACAAAGCACTTCAGGTGTGTAGTTTGGCTCTGCTTTAGTGAAGTTTAAATGTTTCCTTTACCTTATTTATTTATTGTAAACTTGAAAATCTTTGTTAAACGGGTTTTGTTTTTCTGCTCTCGCCTTGCAGCCAGACCCAGTGAGTCAAAGTGGTCTCCCGGCAGCAGTGTGTCAAACTCCTCCCTAGCTCATGAGCTTTGGAAGGTCCCCCTGCCTCCCAAGGCGCTGTCTGTGGCGGCCCCCTCCAGACCACCGCCTGGCCTCACCAGCCAGAAGCCCAGCCCTGCCTCCTCTGGCTGGGATGGCTCTGCCCTGAGGCTGGGGGGCTGGAGCACCGCTGAGTCCAGATACACGCCTGGTAAGAGAAGCACACCCTTTAACCTTAATTCCATGCTGCAAAATGAGCAGAACAGACTTTGGGGTTGTTGTTTTGTTTTTTTTTTGTTTTGTTTTCAAAAGATTTCAAGACTGTATAGAGAAGCTTGCGATAAATTTTAAAATGCACGGCTCCTCTCCTGTGCAGCCTCAACTTGACCACAAAACCAGCTTTAGCGTCCTATCCCAGCTGATGATTGACTCTATGGTGTATGTATTGACAGGTTCCAGTTGGGGTGACAGCAGCAGCTCAGGGAGAACCCAGTGGCTCGTTCTGAAAAATCTCACACCTCAGGTAGTTGTACTTTCATTCTGTTAACGTTATCACAATCATTACTTCCATGTTTTTTCACATATTTTTCACCTCTTATCACTTCCCGTGTTTAACTCAACTTTTCTTTCCCCTTCTTCCAGATTGACGGCTCTACATTGAGGACTCTGTGTATGCAGCACGGCCCTCTGATCACATTCCACCTCAACCTGCCACATGGTAACGCTGTGGTATGCTACAGCTCCAAGGATGAGGCCGCTAAGGCCCAGAAGAGCCTGCACATGTAAGACCATCACACACAAATATGGGCACTTCTTACTTCTATTTATTCAGCTTCTCTTAGAGCAGATGACCTTGAATAAAAACAGGCTGTTGATGCCAAATTAACTTGTCACAGACAGATTAATCAGATTTGTTTGACACTCAGTCAGATGTCCCCTTCACAGATAACACATGCATACTTCCAGGCATATAACACCCCCCCCCCCAAAAAAAAAAAAAAAACAAAAAAACCACTCCCAAAATTAAGTGGGGAATTGCAGTAGTGGACAGTTGGCTGTTTAAATGGATGGAAAAACAGCCATATGATGTTGTGTACAGACAAAAAGTCTCACTCTTGTCTAACCTGCTCTGTTTCTACAGGTGTGTTTTGGGGAACACTACTATTCTGGCTGAGTTTGCCAGCGAGGAGGAAATCAGCCGTTTCTTTGCACAAGGGCAGTCAATGGCCACTCCCTCCTCTGGCTGGCAGACCCTCGGCTCCTCTCAGAGCAGAATGGATCAGTCTCACCCCTTTCCAAGCCGCGCTTCTGAACCCAACCAGTGGAACAGCAGCGACCTTCACAGCTCCTCCCTCTGGGGTGGGCCCAACTATTCCAGTAGCCTGTGGGGGACCCCCAGTGGCACCGAGGCAGGGAGGATCAGCAGCCCTTCTCCAATCACCTCCTTCCTCCCAGTGGATCACCTGACAGGGGGCGGGGACTCCATGTGAGCTGCCCGCCAGTGAAACGGGCTCGGGGAAGGGTCAGTAGAGAATTATCAATAATCAGCAGAATAGAGACACAAATGTAGTTCTATAAATGCAATGGCACTAGTTGGACTCCTTCTCATTTACAAGATATTCAACAAAACGGGGTCTCCCCTGTGGAAAACAAGTTACGTTTCTCTCTCTGCACATATGTCCACTTTGTTTTAGCCCAAAAACATATCAGTCGGAATACTTGAATCATGCAGGCCAATTCTATAATGTGAACGGATGGATATTTGCCTCCAGGTAGTGCTCTTTCAGACCGAAAAAAAGCTTCAATCGAGCTCATTATTATTATATGTATTTTTTGTTTCTTTCGTCATGTTTATTTGAATTCCAATTCTTTTTAACATTTTATTTTTTTGTTTTACTTTTTTTTTTTTTTGCATTTGTTTGCTGACAATGTTGGAGTATGAGCTTTTTTTTAACTTTGCACTGAATGTGTTGTTTTTTTCTCAGTATAATCTGCAATATAGAGGGAGCAGCCAGTTTTTTCCAGTGTAGCTGTTTACTCATTGAGGTCCTTACTGTGTGTGTTTGTGAGAATTACTGTGTGTGTGCGCGCGAGCTGTGAATGAGTACGTGTGCGCTCCTCTCTGCCTTGGCACGCCTACCTTACTGCGTTGTCGTGGAGTTCAAGATCAACAGATAGTTAAAGAATTAAACCTGACTTAGGATGATTATCTGGTGATAGTTCAAGTGACATTAAAAGTATTGCACCAATTTTGTTTTAAAACTAAAGAAAGTTGAGCTCTGCAGTGCAAAGGACTGTAGCCGCAGCTGGGACTAGTAAGCCCCGCCCATCCTAATATAGGGAGGCGGGGGCTATCTAGCAAGCCCCTCCCCCTCCCTCCCTTTCTCATTAGCCCCCTGGCAGGCAGGTTTTAGTGGGGGGGAGGGGGGGGAACAGCACTTTCAGAATAGGCTTTCAATGTTTTGGAGGTGCCACACTGCAACCTCTTGTTTACAAGACTTGGGAGGCAGAAAGTGTGTTCATTCTTCATTTTAAAGAGAAGATGGAATAAAATTTTAAAAAAAAAATGCACAAAAAAAATTTCAAAACGCTTTTAAAAAAAAAAAAGATAAAAATTTTTAAAAACAGAAAAAGTTTAAAAAAAACAACAAAAACAACTCTTACTGAGGATGAAGACGATGCTTTGTAACTCTGGGAATTCGGATCAGTGTTTTTTGGCCATGGCGTTGGTTATTTTGAACTATTCCTCTTTTTGTCTGCTAAATAACCAGCAATGGTTCTCAGGAAATCAAGCCAGTTTTCCCCCCTTGTAGTTTGAATTAAAGAAAAAAACTACTACTCCTTGTAGGAAAGGAAAATACAACTTCTAGCACTGAAAACTATGTAAAGGTCTGTAAGTTTTCGTTTTTGTTCTCTCTCTCTCTTTCTCTCTCTCTGCCAAATAACTGCTTTAAGCTGGAGAAGCTCAACACACTGCTTTCAATATGCTGTCTTTTGAGGGAGGGAGG